ATCGTGTCACCCCCGCCGACCATCCGTCTCCCTTTCAGAATCAACCGGAGGAGGTAGTAAGACAAACAATTTAACTGAGGCAGGAGCAAAAGGACTGGTGCCTCTGGCTCAACAAGCTGCAAGACCCTTGCGAACAAGGAGTCGATGGTTTCCGCAACCTCATCTACAACATTAGTCATTGCTATTAGAATAAATTGGAGAACCAAATAAAAGAAAATTCAAGTTACCAATAATTCGTTCCATCCCCAAAGTATGAAGACTTTCACCAAAGAGTTGTGGAGCTTCACCCTGAATAGCTCCTTGATCGAAGGCTGAGTCAAGGCACTATCCAGCAGTGGAGCATAACCCCAAATCACCCCTCCAGCTGAAGGCTGAGTTAAGGTACCTTCCAATGGAAGAGCTCACACAATCGTTTCCGCTTGCCCTTGCTCCTGAAGCAATAGCTGCACTGGTTGTCGGTTGGGGGGGGCAGGAGCCAAAACAGACATATTAGCGATACACACTCCCTTCCGACTCCTTACCTCAAGGAGTGATAATAAGTTGGAAGACTCCAATCTCCTCCACCCTTTATTTCTTCATCAACGTATGCTTTACTAACTTGGACCCCCATGCTTGGTCTGTTTGGCCGACCCTTTGGGCTCGATCATTTTTCTCCCATCTCTCGGTCTCCTCTCAACCAATCAACCCTCTTCGTCCGTTTTCTTCTTAAGGACAAAATGAGAACTTTCTAGCTTCCTCTCCTTCTCACCCCCAGAAGGGTGGATCTTTGCAGTGGGAAACCCGAAAGCCTTCATCAATGTTTCCTTACTCACAAGCTTCTTAGCACCCGACATCCTTGTCCACTACTATGAAAGACCGAAGGGTAAGAAAATTCCATAAATGAGAAAAGAAAGCATTGATCATTGCATATTATAGGGAAAAATGACACGAAAATCCAGGAAGTACAACTATTAACACTACTTATTATTCATTAAATAAATAATTGTTTCATTTAATTCTCTTTTTTTTATGACAGTTATCACTTTCAAAGAAGCAAGATAATCAGAGAACTATGTTTGTACATTTGAAATGTGGCTACACAACTCTCGAGGAGATCCAACAGATTGCACGAAGAGAGCAGCAAAAAAATCGAGCAATTCAGTAACACTCCAATCACCCGAACTCTGGGCCGACTGAGCGATTAGTCCGACCGAACCAATGAGTGCCTAACACAGATACAAACAACAGTCTAACTAGCACGAAGGATTTTCACAAGAACAACAGTTTCCTAACAAGGACTCATCCTATATAGCTTCATTGATCAAAGGTAAGCTGCCCGTCAGATTATGACAACATGCCCTCTACTTGGTGGAATAATCAACTCAAAGGACAATGAGTATTCACAATAGATTCCTTGAAAAAATGCGATCGGAGATAGCTCAGTTGGCCGAATTACTTTTTAGCCAACCGAACGAATATTGCAGGACCAAACCAAGCAGTTACAAATATAAAATGAAGCCTAGGGCAATTACATATTCAGAACAATACTAGCAGCGGTTGCAAGGTCAAAATATGCTCAATTCGGTTAAAAAATGTAAATGTGTAATGACTCACAAACAATTGTAATATTCCCATTAAATGAGGGGGTATTCATGCAATTTATCAGACCTCCTCCTCTGACTTATAAATAGGAGGGTTATTTTTATAGAAAAGACAACCGAATCCATTCTCAAGGAATTGATTCTATTTGTGCTTGTCATTCTCTACTCATCTCTTTTCCTATTCCTCTCATCCGACTAATAATTTATTCCTTGGATGTGACCCGAAGAACATTGTGGGATTAAATGACCCTATTAACATGATTTATTTATCGTATTTACTAAATCCAACCAAACATAAAAACAAAATGCAATTTCTGGAATTATAAAATTTCAGATTTAAGGTCTAAATTTTGCCTTTGATCCATGTTAAATCTGGATTTAATAAATCTAACAAGGAGGTGTATTTACTAAATCTAGATTTACTAAATCCCACTAACTCTAAATCCTTCCTATAACCAAACACTCCCTTAGTGCGCGGTACACAAAGGAATAAGAAGTTTGGGACATCTCTATACGTTACAATCCCACCATTGCTTTTCCCGCTAAATCCAGATTTAGGAAAATCAGGGTGTGATGGAGAGGCATGCGAGCGATAACAGAATAAATCAGCCACAGAATCGGATTTAATAAATCCAGATTTACATCGTAAGAAAAACGGGATAAAATAAAAAATAGACAAAACACACAAAAATTCAATTTAACGAAGCGTTGGATTTAATTTTCATTTGTTTATACTTGGTTGGATTTAATTTTAATCCCTGGCTAAATCCTGTCAATAGCATGCTACCAAACACTGCCCTAGTCACAACCATATCACTCAAACAGGGAAAGTGAGAGCTTGGTCCATGAGTTCTCAAACGGAGAGGGCATGAGCGATTCTAAAATCCAAGAGAGGGAGTAGTTATGGGTTTCAACTCTTTTTTTTTCAATTTTAGCAGCTAAAAATAACACGTTGAGTTGTTTCCAGCCTGGGTTTAGTCAACCAGCCAATGTGCTCGGACCAAATGGAGATCTTCATTAGTATTGTAAGATATATAAATCACTTGAACTTTAACGGTTCCTCTTCGTTTTTGCTGGAAATGTGACATCCAATGGAGCGAATTTATAACATGAAAGAAAGGAAAATATATGGTAGCTAGAAATAATAGACAATTGGCATTCACCAATACGGAGACCAGAAGCAACCAAAAAGCCTGAAAACATTTTAGTATTGTCGTTAGATTATTCTTCCCATAGAGAAAATCATTTTATTGGTACATGGAAAGCATTCATTTGCACAGGAGTATTTTTATTCATCCTTTAATAAATTCTTGGTCTTCTTTCTTCCATAAAATTTAGGATGTTCAGGGATTCTAATGCAACTTGGATGCTAGATAAAGCCACAAAAGAATTCACAATCTAAAGGTTACCGACTCGTAAAATTGTTGTTTTTAATATGAGGGTAACACAACTTAGTTTATTCTAAGAGATAATTTAATCACAAATAATTGATGGCTAAACAGCCGTAAAAAGAACAGTAAAGATAGAAATTCAGCAACTAAATAAGTTCAGGTTAAAAAAAAAACATATATATTGAAAATAATCTCAATCATTCACATATAATTGATGGCTAAACAGCCGTAAAAAGAACAGTAAAGATAGAAATTCAGCAACTAAATAAGTTCAGGTTAAAAAAAAAAACATATATATTGAAAATAATCTCAATCATTCACATATAATCGATGGCTAAACAGCCGCAAAAAGAACAGTAAAGATAGAAATCACTCCAAAGGAATGAATCAGGCATCACCGCACCATACTGGAATGCAAGCAGTCTTTTAAAAGTATTCATCCACACCTATGATTTTGTGAAGCAGTCAAAGAATACACATTTAACAAACACATTTACAAAAAGAAGTAAATTATAATTTTATTTCAATATTCAATGTCCATTAATTTACAAGTCTTAGGAGTTCTAGCTATAACCCATAAAAAACCCAACAAATTAAGAAAAACTGAAAAACTGAAATAGAGAATTGAAGGCAGGTAGATGGTAAACAGACAAGGAAGGTAATCAATAGAAAGTAGAAGCAATAATAAAAGGTTGCTACTGGTATTCAATTAGGGAAAACAACCGAAAACTATGGCAGTTTATCAGCTGTGATACTAGAGAGGATATTCTGTTCATATAGGAGCCGGCATCATAGACATACTTTACACAAAAACAAGCTAAAGAAAAAAACTACACTAATTAGAACTCATGTAAAGTGTAAACCATCAATTTCTATCTTTCGATTCAAGCATGCTTCGAGATTTACGTCACTCACCAACCACTTGAATAAGCTTCAGTCAGAGAACCCCAAAAGATTCCTTACTGCAGCAAACCGAGTTCATCTTTGCAAGTATCTGCACTCTCCAAACGCTATAATCCAGTATTCTTTCAGAATATTTCATTTTTAAGAATTTAATTTAAAAAGAAATTGTTTTTTCTACTATATAATTCAACAAAATATATTTCTGAATCAGGATAAATTCTTACCCAAAAAAAGACAACATATGTAGGCACCATGCTTTGCAAGGAGATCAATAAAGATTGAGCGAAAACTGGAAATAATAGACTTATGCTGCGAGCTTGCAAGGCCTCCAGTCTTTAACATTCATGTCCAATGGATGTGACAAGGCTGCCGACCAAGCATCCAAATCAGGCACAGGCCCGGAAAGAGCAAGATAGTTTTCACTGTCTTTGCCCTCCAATCTTTTCCAGCTTAACTGTATCAAATATCAATAAACAATTCCAGCAATGGAGTACAAATATATAATTCAAAAAATAAAACATATCATGCCTCAAAACTATAACAAGCAAACCATTTAGTTCGCTGTGTGCAGCTTTCGATGCATACCCGTGTGAGCATGGGAATCAATACTTGGAAAAAATGGGGATGATGTATTGCTTGCACCTTGCTGGGAAATGCTCTGCACATGGCTCTGATTGTAGAATTCTGCACCCAGGATCCTTTTGATGAAATATTTCCATTTACTTTTATATATCCGCTATCGGTTATTTCAGCATGCACACCACCACAATTGACCATAATACGACCACGAGGCATCAGTTTTTTCTCAATGTCCAGCCATGTAGTAACCTGTTGCACATATTCAAAAAATATGCAAATAAGAAACGAGCTTTCAGTGTCATGAAAAATTGATAATTGAAACCCCCCACCTACATACAAACACACACAATCAGCTCGTCGCCCAAAAAAAAAAAAAAACCATACTAAATGGATTTGGGGGAGATTTGTAGATTTCCTTGGTGAACAAATAAAGATGTGCCATACTTTTGCTGGAAAGTATTGTTATGGGTTCACTTAATCAAAAAATGATGTGGCTCGAGTTTTAATATAGGTTATTTGGGGTAGTATAATATCATCATATGTCCTGGATAAATGCAATTTGAGAGTGCAAATAACTCTAATAATGTGAGATTGATAAAGGGAGAAGACAAAAATTTCAGAGGAGAAAATTATTTCATTGCCATTGATTCCTAGTAATTCTAAACCTGAAGTATTTACATTTAAAACTCATTAATCATGTTAGCCCAAATACAAGCTCTGCGACACAATACGGTCAAACACAAAGTTAAAGAAAAATAATGAATGCAGAGTCACATAAGAAAAATTTTAAACATTTTGGTCTTAATCAAAACCCCTCAAATGTTATTTGTTTAATGAAAAGAACAGCACCAATGCTATCAAACACGACTAAAATGACATATTATGGACACAATGTTGTTCAAAACTAATTCGAAATGCCTAGACCACATCTAAAATCATTCAATCTCCATCAGTTTCACAACACAATCCATGCTGACAAGTTCGTAACATCAGAATTATCTTGAAAGAAGACGTATGTTGCCTTGGGTGTTGGACCAGAAAAAATGGAAAATTTATCGCACGATGTAAAATCAACATAATTGAGCTGCAAAAAATTGAGAAAAAAAGTCAATACGCAATAATTAATATTATCATTATCTAAAAAAACCAAGAAAGCAATAGCAGATCTGGTCATAATCAGCAAGTTTTCACCACAAAAATTTTTAAAAAACAAGAAAACCAATGGCCTGCAAACAATCTAAAATACCAACCAATAAAGAAGTTTCTTTAAACCAACGGCTGCCCCAGTTATATCATTTTCACCTTAGAAAAAAATAAGCACGAAAATCCTCAAATCTAAACCTAACTATGCCCTCTAGAGATCTCATCTCCCACAAACTCTCTCTCTCTCTTCTCATCCCTCCTCTAACGTAAATTTCCCCTTTACGCTCACACCCTCCATCTCAAAATACTGCACAAAACTACCTACCTACCGACCTGTCTATCTTATCTATCTATATGTACGCATGCATGTATGTACAGAGAGAGAGAGAGAAAGAGAGGGGAAGTGAGCGAGGAAGGGGGAGATAGAAACCAAGAAGATTGGTCAGAAGTGGTAAGTAAAAGTGTGAATTCAGTTGGGTTGGATGATTTGGACGGCAAATTATAAAACCAATTGAATTTGGATGTCCAGAGAACTGAACCAACCGATAAATTGGTTAGATTGTTTTGGTTCAACTTCAGATAATCTAAAGTTAATTGCAGTGCATAATTAAATGTGAACTTTATATAAATATGCAATTTTTATTGCATAATTGATAAGCATTAAAAATAAAGAAAATCATATAATTACAATTTATTCATTTGTTTTGTTTAAACGTTTTATACTTACAAAAACATAGAGAAAATTATATGCTTTAATTCAGTTTTTTACTTTATCAAATATTTTGAATCATTAATCCATCAAATGATCAAATATTTTGAATCATTAATCCATCAAATGATCAAATATTTTGAATCATTAATCCATCAAATGATCAAATATTTTGAATCATTAATCCATCAAATGACCAAAAAAAAAATAATAATAATTTGAACTAATATCAGAATCACTATATTTAAAAGAACGAATCAATTCACCTAAAATAGTTTAATTCAATTCAGTTTTTTTGTAATAACTGAATAGTGCACACCTCTAGCGGTGATAGAGAAAAAAAGATGGATACAGAGTGAATCGATGGATTTGTGTCAATTCTTATTTTTTTTCGCCCCAATTTCTCAAAAAGTTGTATCTGAGAGAGGTTCTAGGGCAGGGAAGAAGAAAAAATTCAGGAAAGGGTCAAGGAGGTGGTAATTAGGGTTGGCAAAAAACTCGCCGTTCGCGAACAACTCGATTTCGGCTCGTGTTCGAATCTTTTGTTGAGCAAGCAAGCCAAACACAAAAAAAAATTTTAAGCTCAAATTATAAAGCAGTCGAATAAGAACCCTTTGTTCGATTATAATCGACTCGTTTTAGCTCAAAATAAGAAAACTATATATACTATTTATATAATAATGTTAGGTATGACTCATATACTATAAATGAGGCAGATGCGGGAGCGGAGCAGAGCCCACGAGCGGAGTGGAGCGGAAGATCTGTCCAATCGGGGTAGTTTCATTATGTGGGTTGGGAGTGCGGGGAAAATACCTCGCGGTTTGGTACATGGGTAATTTAAGTAATTATATATTGTACTATAGGGTTATATATATCTCCTGTTTGTAACCCTATGAGCGATTCTGAGATTCTGAATCTTATATTCTACACTCTTTTCTGAATATTGAAAAGAAAGTCGCCACTTTGCTCCCGAGGACGTAGGCATCTTTGCCGAACCTCGTAAATCTCTAGGCGCTCTTCTGGATTTGTGTCGATTCTTATTTTTCTTCGTCCTAATTTCTCAAAAAGTTGTATCAGAGAGAGGTTCTAGGGCAGGGAAGAAGAAAAAATTCGACGTAGGGAGAAAAAAGATTTTGGAAGGCTTCTTCTGCGATGGATTAGAAGGAAGACGAGGGCTTCTTCGGCAAAGGTGCGGTTTTTTGAGCTTCTTCTGCGATGGATTCTGCAAAGTAAGTTTGCGCGACGAAGAGAAGGTTTTCGGCGGTTTGACACAGAGAATCGCAGTTCGGCGTTTTCTTCCGCGACAGGCGAGAGAGATTCGTGCAACGTTTGCTGTGCAGTTTGGAGACGCAGAGGAGAGGAGTTTGGGTGAAGGATTTGTGGCCTAGGTGAAGGTTCAGTTTGCGACCGTTGCCACAGGTGCAAAGCTTTGTGAAAGTACTGCCACGCAGAAGAGTCCGGCGAAGGAGCTAGGCCAGATCTACTTCCTCTACGAATCGCGAACAGGTGCGAAAGACAGAGGTGTTCGAGCGGCGGAGAGAGCAGCCCAGTAGCAAAATTGGAAGGGCGGACGTGGGAAAAGGAAATTCACGCGGAAAAGAAAAGTCGAAAAAGGAAATTTAGCGCGGAAATATTTCAGGACTCAAGAAAGGCAAGGAAAGAGAATCTGTTGCTGCACTCAGGAAAGAAAAGATTTCTTTCTAGAAGGAAAGAGGAGGCAGAGTTTTT